GGATGCCAGGGGCTTGGTGCCGATCTTGCAGGTTAGCCGGAGACTGCAGTTGTTCGAATCCTTGTCCAAAGCCATCTTGAATAGCTTCGTTACCAGGGGATCCAACTCATTCTCTGGCTCTGCCTGACGACGTCGACGGAAGAATCCTGGGACAAAGCCTTGGTTCCTGGGCAGAGAAAGGGTGGGCGAGAGGACAGGAGGTAAACGCGTGGATTAGTTCTTGGGATATTTTTTATTCAGTGTCTGCATTATTGTGGTTTATCCAACGACTATATATTTTTCATTATTTTTTAACAATTATATTTGATATCAATAGATAATGCAATACTATTCTAAAGGGAATGACAACGACGAATCAGATTGCAAGCTCCTTCCATTTCTAGTGGTAAGATGGTGCGCATGTTCTGTTCATAAAAAAACTGGTACCGTACCAGCTCACTGATAACTTTTAATACATGTTCAGATTTACTGATAAGATTCTTGTTAAGAAAACTACAAGGATAATGACCGGTCAACAAGCAATAAATTCATAAACATTGACATTCCAAAATCATTGTCCTTGTTTATATCACAAAATGATGCAATTCAACACATCTGAACTATGTTATGTCACGTATCAAAAATAACTAGAAATGCTTAACCCGCCAAGACACCAGCGAGCAAAGCCACTCACCCGAACTGGCTCTGCGGCCTGCGGTTGTTGGAGTTCTTCTGGCCGAAATGGTACCCCAGGCCGGCCGCGAGCGCCACCGCCCCCAGGGTGAACAGGGCCTGGTTGTTGACCTGGACGGACTGGGGCTTCGCGTCGCACCCCAGCTGGACCACGAGGACAAGCCCGGTCAACACAGCTAGCTGGCTCTTTCGCATCTGCGGGGAAGGAGATCGTCAGGAATGCAACATGGCTGGTTGATTTAGTAGGGAGAACCATGCTTGGCGCCGCAACAGCAGGGCCATTAGCGCCGACGGAAATTTAGGGAGTCTGAGTTGGGGAGAAGGGGGGGGGGTCGAGGACGTAAGGGACCTAGAATGCAAGGGATTTTATATCTGAGTGATTTAAGAGTGATAACTTTTCGTATTTGGATCATTACTTTCTCTTCTCTTTAATTCTCCTGTGCTAGTAAGATACGTTGACCCCTAAATATAATTAATAGAATGGAATGAAAAGTAAATCCGACATATGCATCATATATGACTGAAGTGAATATGAAAATAATGAAAACGTTCGAAAAAAATCATAAATACACACACAATCACTCTTGAATGAAAAAAAATTCCCTTCTGTCAATGATCTTCCAGGCTGTTCTTAACAACCAGCAGATCGGTTACTCCAGCAGTCCAACGCCTCACAGTTATAAAAGCAGGAAACTTATCCCTGCATCATCATGAATACCACATCTTTCCAAAACAATCTTTACACTCATGGTCCCTCACAAATCACCGCATCAGCATGACAAGCAACCGATATTAAAAAAAGAGGAAGAAGAAAAAAATGTTTGGACTTTGCGGCATCCACGCGACCTCAGTGAGAAGTGAAGCTCAAACTCCCCGATCGTCGGTTTCTCCAACATTACGACGAGCGACAACTCATCTTCGCTGGCTCGTGGCTGAAGTAAGCGCTCTCTCAAGCGTGGGTGATCTATGGCGCTGTATCACTCTACTCCCCCGCGTTCCCAAGAAGGTGAAGGTTAGCTGTATTGCTATTGCATAACATGTTAACGGTTGAATTAACGATGGCAGATGCATGTGTTTATTATTGCCCGTGTCCAATAAAGGAAAGGAAATAATTTTCTAAAAATAATAGGCGAGTCTGTTAGTACTAAACTGTATAACTGATTTCTATAGACTAAAGCGCTGGAAAGTTCAGTCTAATTTGCACCATTAATTCCAGAAGGATCAAGCAGAAAGTCATATATAATCAAGGTCTCTATAGTATGCACATTTTACCTTTTAATCACTACCTTTCCCTCAATGCCTAACGCACAATTATTTCTCAATACAACAGATAAGCCTGATTTTCCGCGTCAGAAACGAGTATCGTTGAACAATTTCCTTCTGGTTTTCGATTAAGAAATCCTGGTAAAACGCAGAGAGTTGGAAATTCAAGGCATTGACAGAAAGTGAAAGACAACATCTGTAAAGAACTACTGCTGGAAGAAATGAATTAGGCAAAGACAGGCGAAATAGAGAAAGCTTGAAATCTCTCAAAATAAATATATCTGTCTATACACCTGTGCGTGTGTATACAAACACATACAATGTATATATATGTAATACTGATAAAATGAAATATTGCTCCATATATTCCCTCAGGCAGAAATAATCCATTAACAGAGTCCCTATCAATGTGTATATATATACATATATATATATATATATATATATATATATATATATATATATATATATATATATATATATATATATATATTTGTACATATATATATTACAACGGCAAACAACCGCAACGCCGAACTCCCCGAGAAAGAGCAGCGTGAGGGGGAGCCAGCACCGATTCCCTAACCGCCCCGTCATCTGCAGCAATCCCCTCTGCACGTTACGTATTGCAAGCGTGTTCTTATTGTGCCATCCGTTCTTTCGGCTCCTGAGTAACTGTAATAAATGACGACGATGATGATGAACGGAAATGAGGGGAGGGCGACTCAGGGCCTGGTGGGTGAGGTCTTGTGATGGCTTTATAATCTTCATCGCCACTGGTTTAATGGGTGTAATTGGTAGTACGTTTGTAATTACTCTGTGTTTATGAATCGTGAATATTATCATTGCGATTAAGAAATTCTATATCGCGAAATGTGATACGGTTGTAATGAAGGTTGATATTAGAATATTTATGCTTTCAGTATTTATCCATCACATTGCAATTTGCTCCTGTCGGTAAATGCATTATTAATGTTTAAGTATTTAACAACAAACAGTAAACACAATCACGGCATTTCATTACTAGTATTATATATGTTGTTCTGAATCTTGCTAAATACTTAATTTATCGCAACGCACAAGCACCCACTATCCTGAAATTATCGAAGAAAAAAAAGAAAAAAGAAATGCAGATGTATATAATCCAGTACCTCCCCTTTCTCCCACCCTTTTCCCCCCTTCCCTATTTCCCCCATCCTCCTCCTCTTTCCCATTTCGCAATTCTCGTTTTACTCCCACTTCTTCCTACCTTCGCTCTTTCCCCCCCCTCCATCGCCCCTCCTCCCCCCCCTCCACCATCCCTTCCCTCATCCCTTTCCCTTTCCCCTCATAAACTTGCACTTTTTTACAATGTCCGTTTCACTGCGGCCTACAACTGACTGACTTTGGTAAACTGGCCTTGAAGCCGCACAGCCTACTGATTTTGTGAATGTCATCGGCCAAGGTATCGGAGGGGGGGGAGGGAGAAGGGGAAACAGACAGGTGTGTGTTTATGTTAGTATGTATGTACGTACGCATGTATGTGCGTGCGAGGAAGTGTATGTATGTGATTGTGTGTCCTTATATATGTGCATGCGTCTGCACATATACATTTGCAGATATCATAGGCCTACAAACCATAAAAATATACAAAATGACATGAATGATACCTCCCCCCCCCCCCCCAAAAAAAAAAAAAAAAAAAAATCCACTACTACCGTTTCACTCGAACATTCCTGAAACAAACCAGCAAGGCATGACCGTCACACACATAAATCCCTATTAATTTTGCATCACCCGCCTTGCGCCATCTAGCGTTATCATTCAGTTCCCTCAGTCACAGCCGCTGCCTCTGCTCTGTCACTGTGACCGACGAGCTCAAACAAGGTCTCATGCTCGTCAGTTTCCTTTCCCGGCTTTTTTCACTTTCATTTTCTCTTCCCTTTTTTATCTTTAGCTTCCTCTGTATTTCTCTTCCTGTATCTCTTCCCCCTTGTTTTCTCTTTTCCCTCTCAGTTCCAGTCTCTTTTACATATCTCTCTTTCCCTCTTTTCCCCCCCTTTCCCTCTCGTACATCCTATCTCTCTCTCTCATTTTTTTCCTCTCCCTATTTCTCCCTTCGTATCTCTCCACCTCTCATTCATTTCCCTTAGCCCCACCTTTCACAATAACACCTTAATCCAGAAAATAACGCCTCGGTAAAGAGAACACAAACACATTTAGTTTCCCGGCGCGCCAGAGTTCGTTGCCACACGTGAGGCGCTGCGGTCGATCGTGGAAGCAGTGCTGTCGAAAAACGAACTAGTGCTTACTTATGTCATAATGCCGACTTGGTTTTGAATTCTTAGCACTGACTTGTGATTACTTACGTCTTGATACCTGTTTGATTTTTTTTTCTTAATTCTTGACTGTGATTTGCGTTTGTAAATGATTTGTTTGGATTTGTTTGGCGGTTTGCGAAAGGGGGGTCATTTTGCGCGTGATGTTTAGTGGCTGAACTACTTGGCAAGGTCTTTGATTGGGCAAGTCTTTCTTTACTAGCTGGCTAATCAAATATTACGTAAATAACACAGGAGAATGTAATAAACAGGCACACACACACACGGACACACCCACCCACCCACACACACTCACACGCACGCACACACACACACACACACACACGCACACGCACGCATACGCACACACACATGCACACGCACACGCACACACATATACACACACACACACACATGCACACACACATGTATATGTGTGTATATATATATATATATATATATATATATATATATATACATTTATATATATATGAATATATATATATATATATATATATATATATATATATATATATATACATATGTGTATACATGTACATATATATATATATATATATATATATATATATATATATATATATATATATATATATATATATATATATATATATATATATGTACATATATATATATATATATATATATATATATATATATATATATATATATATATATATATATATGTACATATATATATATATATATATATATATATATATATATATATATATATATATATATATATATATATGTATGTATAATATTATATATATATATATACATATATATATATATATATATATATATATATATATATATATATATATATATATATTTATATACATATGTATATACATGTACATATATATATATATATATATATATATATATATATATATATATATATATATATATATATATATATATATATATATATATTTATATACATATGTATATACATGTACATATATATATATATATATATATATATATATATATATATATATATATATATATATATATATATATATATATATATATATATCTAAATACATGCTCATACATACATACACATATTCCTGTGTGTACATGTTTTGTGTGTATGTAGAGATACATGTGTATACATAGATATGCATATGAATGCATACACAGACATGTATATGTACACACACACACACACACACACACACACACACACACACACACACACACACACACACACACAACATATATATATATATATATATATATATATATATATATATATATATATATATATATATTTGTATGTGTGTGTATTTGCAATAACTTATTTATTAAGTGTTCACTTTTGTTATAGCACGATAGGTACACTTTAAACGAATTCATTTATTATTCATTTCCATATCTTTAAGCGATAAACTATGGCAAAATATTCATAAAAAAACAACACTGTACACTTAAACTTATAAACTTATAAACCCTCACATATATCACAAACAGCTACGGTAACAAAACACAAATGCATTACTGAGAAAAAAAAACGAAAAAAAAAAACATACACGCACAACTTTCAAAAAGCCTAAACGCATTTCCGCGAATACTTTGTTTCCATGCCTGCGTTTCCTACCTTGT